AAACTCTTAAGTAGCAACATCTCTTACCCACATGAATGCTGTTTGAATCAAAAACCTTCTTTCAAACAATCCCCGCCTTTGCTGCGTCGTCAACGGTTTGCTTCACCTCGTGCAGCATTTCAGCGCCCAAGTGCATCTGCACATTGCTAACCCTTGTCAAGTCCAGGTCTCCAAAGACATCGGCAGTTCGGGACAAAAATTCCAAAAAGGCATCCCTTGCCTTCTCTCCTTTGATGGTAACACGGGATCGTGTAGCCCATGGTATTGATGTCATCGACTATCGGCGAGAAGAGTCTGGGGTTGTCTTTGTTCTGGTAGTCTTTCAGGACCCATTGCACCGTTGCGTAGACCACTTGATCTGGAGGGAAAAAAATTTCCTCGTTTTTCACAGGTTCTTTTCTTGGTTTTGCCATATTCCTTTCGGCCCTCCTCCTTGTTTCCCAGGCTGGAACTGGTTCTGGAGCTGGAACTGGAACTTCTGGACCTGGAGGTTGCCCACCAGGCGGAGTCTGCCCCTTCCCACCTTTTCGGCCTGGACCCCGTCTCGATGCTGATGCCCGAGCATCGTCATCCATCCCATGGTTCACCTGTCTCAGAGTTGTCCATTCACGCCAAGGCGCTCCATATTGGCCATACCACCAAGTCGCGCCGTCGTGCCACCAATCCGACATGGCAAACCGCAGCTGCTCTGTAGCAAAAAAACAGTGATCAAAATTGAGTGCCAAATGTCATGATGTTGTTGCTGTAACTTCACATGAAATCATGTCACACATGCACCGTTGCCAGCCAAATCTGAGCTCTACTGCGGAACAAAGACACATTTGACAGTGGCATGCGCTGTCATGATCATCCAGCAATCCAATTCCATCAAGCATCACTTCCTTGCCGCGACATGGCAAAACAACTGCACACTAAGACCAAGTAAGGGGTAGAACATCAATACACTTACATAATACATAACAATACATATACAAATACATACACACATAAAATACCATGTAAATATATATATATATAAACATGTACATATAACTATTATATACATTTACATATTAATATTCATTAATCAAATGAATACCAATGTACATATACATATGCATGTAGATATTTACATGTACATACACACAGACATCTACATCTATATATACATCTGCATGTACATACACAAAAACATGTAAATGCATGGACACTTACATTATTATATAAGGATGCGCAAAATATCACTTACAAATGTAGGACTGTTTCAAAACAAATTTCTTTGCCCTCCATACGGACTCCAAGTTTTTTTTCCCACATTGCGGCCGAAAGTTGGCGCAAACGTCACCCCCCCACAGAGGTCAGACCACTTGTAGTGGACAACTACTACTAAGGTGAAACAGCAGCAGGGATCAGACTTCCTGTGCGGAGCACATTGATTAAAACCACAAGGGTCAGACCGCCTGTGGTAACACCACCCCAGCCACCATCATGGGCCATATCCACTATTTTATGATGTCATGATGTTGGCATGCATGTCGCACCAATAATAAACTGGTGCGACCCATATGCCGACATCACCCTCATGTGCCAGAGCTCCAGTCCAGAGCTGAGGCAATGAGTAGAAAGATCCAGGTGTCAACTGAATTTTTCTGCTCATTGATCCAGGTGTCGAAGGGCGCATTGCCACCAATTAGATGAGGAAAACCTGGGCCGCGTACAACTTACCGAGGGGGGCGTCGGTAAGTTGGAAGCATCTGGGCATTGGGAACCATACCTTCAAGTCTAACCCCATAGAAAATGATGGTTGGTCGTCTGATCCCACGTGTCAATTTTAGTGCAAAACCCATACAAAAAAAAATTGGTGAGAAAAACATATTTTTCAGTGCAAAACCCTTACAAAACTTGTGAAACCCATACAAAATTGGTGAGAAAAACAGATTTTTCAGTGCAAAACCCTTACAAAACTTGTGAATAACACAAATTTCCTGGTGGAAAACCGGCCCCCATTATCAAGCCAAGCCTCCAAAAGTATGATCCTTGTTATCGAAAGCTCACATTGAAATCCACCACCAGGTTCACCCCAAACCCATGTTGATATCCAAATTTGGGATCCAAATTCCAGCAGCGTGCAACTGTGTGAGGGACAAGAAGGATTCCGTATCGCTCAGCAGTTACACACTGCTAGAATTTGAACACCAGTCCAGACCAAGGCGCCAATGCCACATTCGTATCAGTGCAGTGGGTCCTGGCAGAATCTGGCAGAAGCCACTGCACCCAGACGACAAGCGAAATTCCGGCGTAGGTGATGTTGGAAACCATCAAGATGCATTATTATCGATTCCCCTGTGTCAACCACGTGGGATTTGCAAACCCACCATCCTTCAACGCAACAGTCGTCAACAGTCTGATTCTAATCTGAGTTTCATCAGAAACTGGAGCGCCAACTGTAGAATATGGACACCTGTGGGCACCAGCAGGATACACCAACTGTCATATTCTGCTGGTGCCCACAGGTACACATGTCCTGCAGGGTGAAACCGGGGAAGGGTAATGATCTAAACATTGTGGCGGCGGTAGGAACAGAGGCATCAAGAAGAATGGAGGTTAGTTAAGAAACACTTCATCAGGTTATCCTGGGGCATACGACTCTTGATCAAAAATCAATGGTGTTTACAGACCCCAGACATTCTCTGTGGTTACCTTGCCCAATGACGTAGTTGGTACCAGTAAAACATTGAGGGTGTCCCCATCTAGGGTAGATCCATCAAAAGATCCATTCAGAAGAGGTATTTCCTTTTGGTGAAGCAGTGGTTAAAGGGGTCAGACCACCTTCATCTTAAATAATACCATCTAAGATAGAATTAGCCCCCAAAAAATAATATAGCACACACACACAACCCAACCAAAACAGTTGGAGGAAATACTGCATATGAAAAATCATCAAATCACCTCTGAATAAAAACAGACCCAGTTGGTGATTTTTTGGATTGCCCTGCCCCCCTTCCCAGTTACACTTCTGACTGTCAGACCACCTTCCATTGGTTTGTTTGAATTTGTCTTCCTTCCAGGCTGGCTGCCAAACAAAAAAATGGGGAAATTGGCAGCTCTCCCTGGTTTCATTGCTTTGATCGCTCAGCATGCCGGAACCTGTCAAAAAAACTCCAGCATTCCAGGTAGTAAGGTCAAACCACCTCCTCTTCAAAAAATAAAAAATAAACATGGTTTGATGGTTTAGGCTGTTAAAAAAATAAATCAATCCAGTCAGTAAAAGGGGTCTGACCACCTCCCTGCTGGCCATGCCAAACAAATTCTACAGTTTGGTTCCACAGCGTTGCCACTGGTGGTAACAAAATAAAAAACAATCCACAAAAAAATGATCCAGTCAGTAAACGGGGTGAAACACTTCCCCCGTTGCCCAATCCATGCCAAAAGTTTGAAAAATCATGTGTTTTACATGGTTTGATTGTTTGATTTGTTGAAAACTTTCTAGTCAGCGAGAGGGGTCACCTCCCCTGCTGGCCATGCCGCAGAGAATTCTGCAGCTTGGTTCCACAGCGCTGCCACTTGTGGCAACAAAAAAACAATCGAAAATAAAACGATCCAGTCACTGAGAGGGGTCAGACCACCTCCCCTGTTCCATGCCAAAAATGTTTGAAATGTTTTATTTGACATGGTTTATGGTTTGATAGTTTCATGTCATACCATGTTAAAAATTCTAAGGTTACATTACCCCAAGGTTATATTATATTATGTTATCATGTTACCCCTGGTCGCATCCAGCCCAATCCCAACCATCCCTTCCCAATTCCCTTCCTACTTTTTCCTTGCCCTACCGCACCAATTTGGAAATTTTGCCGAAATTAGTTTTGAGCCATCTAGTTACCAATCCCATCTTACCCATTTTTTTCTCCCAGCCCCAGTGTGGGTAACTTTGCCAACAGCCAACTACATTACATCCCTTCCTCCCCTTTTTTTTGGAAAGCTGGGCAGTCAAAGTCTTGAGCCATTTTGAGCCAAAGTGTTCTTGAGCCAAATGTGTTTTGCAATCATGGGTTGGCAGATACATGGGAATGGCTGCTGCTCTCGCCGTGGGATCCAAAGTTAGATAACTTCAGGATCGGAGAACACACGTTTTCCGAAGGTGCAGGTGGTCTAAAACCAAAAACGGTCTATCGGTCTACATTTAACATCGGCAAGAAGAACTTAATAGCGTATGGCAAAGTACGTTGCAAAAAAAGAATATATAGTATAGTAGTAAGTCCAAGAAAATATCTTGAAAGGCGGGCAGTCAAGAACATTATTAACCCCCCCCAATCCCCCCCAAGAAACAAGAATGCAAAAATCAAGAGTTTTTTGCAAGTTACAAGAAGAAATTAATAGCGTGTGGCAAAAAACGTTGCAAAAAAAGAGTGCACAGTGGAGCAACAAGTCCAAAAAAATATTTTAAAAGGCGGGCAAGGAAAAACATTATTAGCCCCCCCCCCAATCCGCCCCAAAATACAAAAATGCAAAAATCAAGAGTGTCTTGTAAATTACAAGAAAAAATTAATAGCGTATAGCAAGGTACGTTGCAAAAGAAGAATACATAGTGTAGCAGTAAGTCAAGAATATTATAAGTTCCGTCCCAAAACCCCCCAAAACCACCAAAAAACCCACGGCCGTCTATAAGCCGTAATCCAACTACCGATTAAATTAAATTTTAATTTAGATACTCTATGACCCATAATCTAGGTCCTAAAACCCCAATTCAATTACAAAAGTTATATAATCGCATATTTTTTCCGGAAATATTTTAAAAAATAATTTTTATTTTATTTTTTCCAAAACGGTACAAAAATAAACATAATTTCGCAATACTTTTCTTCTTCAATTTTCACTGATGTTGCTTGCAACATCTCCTTTGCCTGGCGGTTTGGTAATTGTCAAAAGACTTGCTGCCTGCGAAAATTTATTCAAAACAAACAACACATATCCTGAAGCCTGAATTCCTTTTCTCATAATGATGTAGCAAATTAAAGAGGCATCCTTGTCCATAGAAAAGAATTATAATTAACTTGAGAATTCGAAATCGGGCAGTGTTGGGCGCTTGCAGGGTTTGAGCGCAATTCATCGATTTCTCAAATCCATTTAGCGGCAAGTAGCAGCGGCTGAGGCTCAAACGTTCATGTGCCAAGGCCTTGGACCTAGAGAGTTTTTGGAAAGTGGTGAAGTCGAAAAGATAAAACCAATAACTATGGTTTCAGCATGGACATCACTGTTGTTTCAAGGCCCCGGCTGAATGGTGATATTCTCCAAGATTTCACCACCTTGGAAAATCTGGCAAACTTTGGGTTTCCCTGGCTTGCTCCTCAATCCTCATGTGATACAAAATGGCACATCATTTTTTGAGGTATCACAAAATGATGGAGAAGCGGGAAATGCATGGAAGAAAGATCGCTACCCATATGCTGAAATCTGCTGGCCCCAAAAGATTGTATCAAATTCTGGCATCGTGATTGAACTTGCGCTTTTCATGCTCCTGCTATGAAAGGGGCCATGTAGCCACATCAAAAATGGCGGGGGCGGGCAGCCTCGAAGCAAGAATCGTTCCAGAGGACCGAGGCCAGGCTCCTGCGTGGCGAAGGGCTGCAAAACCATTAGGCGGCACGCTGATAGATAATCTACATAATAGGAAATTTCAAGCCAACCTCAAAATACTCATGTCCTCGTTCAGGTCTGCATCAAAATGCAATCCTGCACAGTCGTAGAAAATCATGCAAAGCTGAAATCGTCCAAATCAAGCGTGCTGTAAGGACCGAAGGTGTACTTTGTCAGGCATGGTGAGGGCACTTGCTTGACATGAAAATGCAAGGCTAGGCTTCTTAAAACATTTTATGAGCATTCCGAGGCCAGGCAAGACATGTGGAGCATGATCTAGACCAATACCTGACTGCCTGGATTTAAGCATGTCAACGGAAGATGGCAAAGGCTTGTAGAGAAAGCTACATAACGCGGAAATCTTTACATACCTCATGCTTGGCTGGCAAACATTTGCGGTCCACACAAACACTTGGGGCCCATGAAAAGTCACTCCGATTCGATACTGTTGACCGAGTTCCCGGCCCTTGTCACCATCCCCAATGCAAGCATGCGGACATAAGGGATCCCCAACAAGAAGCCCAGTACACTAACACCTTTCGCAGCCAGCAAACGGAACCCAACAAATTTCCAGCTGTATTGATGCTTCTGCGGCGTTCCCCATAGCAACATTTTATGGGAAACCGCACGTGGCTCCCTTGTCCTCTGCGCAATGGCGAAGGGGATAAAGAGGATGATGGGGTGGAAGAAGAAGAGGTATCTGGCCTTGCAGCATGTGGCTATGAGAGGCAAGGCTCACAAAGTTTGGCTGAGCAACCCGTGCTGCACCTGGTGTCCTTCTTGGCCAAGAGAGGAATGGACACCTGAGAGTAATCTGTGGCACGTTAAAACAAGCGGGCTTGCAGAAATACAAACTAGATGACAGCGTGGCCCGAAAGGAAAGCAGGAGATAAGCATCCAAGTGTCTTGGAAACAGACGCAGTGGCTCCTTCTGCAAAAAAAATTGGGAGATAGGACATGATGAAGTGGTGCTGTTGAAGATGATGAAGTTGATGATGATGATGATGATGGTGATGATGATGACGACGATGAGGATGAGGATGAGGATGAGGATGAGGATGGTGATGGTGATTATGATGATGATGATGATGATGATGCTGATGGTGATGATTGATCATGATTGATCATGATGCCGGGTGCTTAGATGCTACTGAGAAATGGCAAAGAAATGGCCAGCAATGCTTAGATATGTTACTTGGACAGGTTAGTTGGAAAAATACTTGAGCTTCAACAGGAATTCTTCCACTGCATCCGACAGACTCTCACTTCTGCAAGCTGTAAGCGGCAATTTGCTAACAATACAACATCACTAGAAGCTTTTGCACGGAGATGCTTTACACAAACAAACCTTTCACGAGGCCTTGACAACCAGGTCCTTTTACGCGCACACACACGTGCACAGACCTCGCTTTTATACAGGGAACCTTTGTGCGCACAGATGCCCCTACATACAGGACAGCTTTTGCATACAGAAGCTTTTATGCCAAGGTGCCTTCACATACCAAGAAGCTTGGACGCGCAGATGCTTTTGCACAAAGACATTGCTTACGCACAGATGCTTTTAATCAGAGAAAGTTTTGACACAGAAGCTTTTACACACAGGTGCTTTGATACAGAGAAGGCTTTTACACACAGACGCTTTTACACCAAGGTGCCTTAACGCGCAGAATATTTCATACACAAACGCTTTCAGGCACACGCGCTTTTAGTCAAAGAAAAACTATACACAAAAGCTATTACAACGAGAAAGCTCCTACACAGGAAAGCTTTTGCGCACACACACACAGGAGCATTTACGCACAGAAGCTTCCGGCACGGGCTCGGCACAAGGGTATAGAAAATCCAAAAGGTTCGAGTCGCGGAAGTGTTTTCCTACAGATCAGAGATGTGTGGGAGTTTTCTAAAAGTTCGAGCTGCGTAGGTGTGTTTTAGCAGACGTATGCACCTGCATCTATACACCTGCAATTTTTACAGTTGTAGCTGCGTAAAAGTGCTATCGCCTGCATCTGTACGCCGCATATTTACAGCTGTAGATGTGTAGAGCGTTCTTCACATGCGGCTATGCGTGTGAGTTTTAAAAAATATTTGGAAATGTGCAGGCGTCTTCCACCTGCAGAGATGTTGTAGCCGAAGAGGATTGATGAAGAATATGATGACGATGATGAAGATGATTATGAAAACCAATGAGAACGAGAATGTGAATGAGACTGAGAATGATGATGAGATCAACGATGATGAGGAAGAAGAAGAAGATGATAATGACCACGACACGTCGACGATGAAGGCGACGATGATGATGATGATGATGATGATGATGATGCCGGTGGTGATGAGGATGAAGATGGTAATTAGAATGGTGATGTATGGTGATGTGTGTTGGCAGCCGCTCTTTGGAACCCGTTGCAGGTGCATTCGCGAACAAAAGAATCGAAAGCAAGAGGTGGTTGGTTCTTCACGTGTTGTTCTGTCCGTCTGTCTGAATTTTTTGTTCTCTGACTTGGCTCTTGTGCTCGCCCTGTAAAGCTTTGCTTGTGGGCCCCCCAAATGCCTGATGACGGGATCCCGTACTGTCTCAACACGGGTTATGCGTGGAGCCTCCTCGATCTGGACCTGCCGTTGACGCGGCTCAATCGGCAATTTGTTTAAGGAATGCTGCCCGTTGAAAATCATCTTGCGTGATAATTTGCAAGCGCTGGCCGTTGGGTGGCTGACGGGTTGCAACATGTTGCACAGGCGTGTATTAGAGACCTCGCCCCGATTGATCATCAAACAACGTACAAGATGTGCACGAAGGTGAATAACCATATTTCTCCTTTGCAACATGCGTACCTGTCCTGGGTCAGCTGTCAGGTCGGCAATCAGCAAAATCTTGGGCAATAGAGGGCCGGAACGGCAGATCTTCACCAAATAAAACGTCACATGGTAACGATGTGGTCAACTAACTGTATTGATAGACCCGGAAGCGAATACTCAATAGGCAACGTCTTGTCCCACAAAAAGGGAGCTTTACCATTTAAGGCTGTCAGGGTTTGCATGTGAGGTGCGAAGCTGTCAAGCAATCATGGCACCGGACACTGACCTGATGCAGTTGAATTTATCTATGGCTCGGCCTGTGGACGCTCGCTGGGGGCTGCTGCTGCTGCTGCTGCCTGACGGCAACACTGGAGGATTGAACAAGGACCAAGCAGTTACATGGATGGCTGGAATGAATGCCTGGCACATTGTAACCTAGACTGTGACATCTTCAGGTCCAGGCAAGCAGTGTGTGTAAACAATCTGAAGACATGCAAAACTAGATGACGGATGGCCCGAGAGCGCAGAGGAGCAAGTTACTCAGCTGTTAGTATCAAGATAATGTTGTAAGTACATGAAAGATAAGTACATTAGTATCAAGATGATCACCAAAAAGAAGAAAGAGACGATATGTCAAGATTCTAAGATGAAACCCGAAGACGCATAGAAAGACTTTTGCACGCAGACGCTTTTGCCCTACGCGCACACGCTTTTACAGACAGACGCTTTCACACACGCAGATGCCTTTACACACAGACTCCTTTACACACAGACGCTTTTACACACAGATGCCTTTACACACAGACGCTTATTTTACACACAGACGCTTATTTTACACACAGACGCTTATTTTACACACAGACGCTTTTACACACAGACACTTTTTCACACAGATGCTTTTACACACAAACCCTTTTACACACAGACGCTTTTACACAAATGCCTTTACGCACGAATGCTTTTTTACACACACACACACTCTTACACACAGACACTTTTACACACAGAGGCTTTTACACAAAGACGCTTTTACACGCAGATGCCTTTACAAACAGGCTCCTTTGCACACAGACACTTTTACACACAGATGCTTTTACACACAGATGCCTTTACACACAGAGGCCTTTAAACACAGAGGCTTTTACACAAAGACGCTTTTACACGCAGAGGCTTTTAAACAAAGACGCTTTTACACGCAGAGGCTTTTACACAAAGACGCTTTTACACGCAGATGCTTTTATGCCTTTACACACAGGCTCCTTTGCACACAGACACTTTTACACACAGACGCTTTTACACACAGACACTCTTACACACAGACGCTTTTAGACACAGAGGCTTTTACACAAAGACGCTTTTACACGCAGAGGCTTTTACACAAAGACGCTTTTACACGCAGATGCCTTTACACACAGGCTCCTTTGCACACAGACACTTTTACACACAGACGCTTTTACACACAGACACTCTTACACACAGACGCTTTTACACACAGAGGCTTTTACACGCAGAGGCTTTTACACACAGACGCTTTTAGACACATGCTCCTTGACACGCAGAGACCTCACACAGGGCGAGAGAAGGCGAGAATCCAGAACCTGCACGGGAACCTGCTTGTGGCACAGTCCTGCCGCAGCATAGCCACACACTTTCCCCAGTTTTCTACTAGCAAACTGCCCTATTATGCTGGGGAACCCGCTTCGAGACGTAACCCGCCGCAGCATAATAACATAGTTTGATCACATGTCTACTATCAAAATCATTTATATGCTGCAAACCCGCGGACGCAGCGTAAACGCACAAGAAAATCATGCATTATGCTTGCGAAACACGTTTCAGGACAGAAAAAAAAAGAATCAAAACATCACATTATGCTCGCAAAAGCAACAACTCAAAATCGCAAATTTTCCGCAGTTTTTTCACGATCCAACGTTATTTCGTGCGTAACTGTCGCGTTTTCGTGATCGCTCGTGGCCATCGCCCCGCCCCGCCTTAAGAGAGAAGAGAAATTAGCAGAAGATAGAAGAAATAGAGAGAGAGAGAGAAGATGTAAGATCAGCAGACGCAAGATCTGAAGATGTAAGGTCAGCAGACGTAAAATCTGAAGATGTAAAATCAGCTGACGCAAGATGTGAAGATGTAAAATCAGCTGACGCAAGATGTGAAGATGTAAGATCAGCTGACGTAAGATATGAAGATGTAAGATCAGCTGACGTAAGATATGAAGATGTATTATCTCAGCTCCTTTTTCTAGAAGAACCCTATGCTCAGGCGCTCTCGGGAAAAACTTACACGGATTATTGTGGCTCTACAGTTTCCAATGCTTGCTTCTTCTGCGGCATCCAGCTAAGCCAGGAACCTGCATGATTAGGGCTTGCAACCCTTGCATTTGAATTTGAGCAACCGGGGAGCCCTGCGTCAGCTGCAAGGCCCTTTTCTTGAGCCATACATCACGTTTGGCAGTAAGTTGCCAGGTGCCATGCTAATCTTCTCTGTATCCCTAAGGACCATGAAGCGCTACAGCTTCCGATTCCAACTGCAAAAGGAAAAAAGAAGGGGTACCAAAAAGTGAAGTGGAATTTCCATCACCACACTCCCCCTGGTGCAATTTGCACCATCTAAAGAAAGAAGGCCCGACTCAATTGACCTCGTCCTCCACCAGGTCGAAGCTGCCAGCACCGCTGTCAAGCTGTCCTGCTTGGCCGCCCTCTGGTCCATCAAGACGTCCATGAAGAAGGCGGTCAATAGCCTCCCCTGGCATCGCCATCTCATCATCCGAAGGCGTCGGGGTACGCACTCGATCTCCATGAGTGTAGTACCCACCTGCAACCCTGGAGACCATCTGCTGGTGATGGTGGCGGATGCCATTCAGCGGAGGGTCTTCGGCAGCTCGCGGCCACGGAATGTTGCCCGCCGGATGCTCCTGCTGTAAGAGGAGATGCTAACCGGCCCATTGCGACCTCGTCCACGTTGATCGCCGCCTGCATGTACTCCCGAAGGTCCAAGATTTTCATGGGCAGCTCCTCCAGGAATACCAGGATATGGGGGCCTGCGCTGCAGCAAATCACTCGCCACAATGCGGCCGCGGTCTGCAGCTCCTTTTCCGTGTCTGCCTCCCTTAGACCCAGGTCCACGGCCAGCAACGGGAACTGCAACTCCTCCCGCTCGCTGGATCTCAGGTCCTGGATGAACCCGTTGTGTGGGCTCCCCATCGCCCCAAGAGGACGCAGCACTCGGCGGCTGACCAGGCTGCTGCAGCCGCACAAAGGTGTAGCCTTTCCATTGGCCACTCACGCCACCACGAAGTGCTCGAGGAGGATCACACCAACGGTCTTGTACAAAACGATGAGCCCACTCCTGTCCGTTGTCCCAAAACATCAAGGTGAACCGGACAGGGTGGAGCTGGCTGGCATCGAAGGGCATGTTGGTGTGAATGGGGTGGAAGGTCTTGGTGCGCCACTGGCCATGCGACCTCACCCACCATTCATTCCCCAACTGCGTCCATCGATCTGCACCTCGAGGAGGGGTCGCGAACTGGTCCTCGTTCAACGGCCAGAAGTTGTACGCGATCTCCTCCCTCTGGAACCGCATGGCCGCCAGTCGCGGCATCTCACCAGCCATGGCGAAAAAACCACCGTCTAAGGAAGGGGCGGGATCGCCGGAGACGCACTGAGCCAAGGTGTTGCTGATGGCAATCTTCTGCAACTGGCCACCAGAAGGTTCATGCGCCGCTCCCAGCATCCCAGTCTTCCCACCATGGCGCCTGCAGTCCAAGCGCTCTGCAGCTACGGTCAGCTGCCCACCATCCATGGCTTTTGAGCCCCGACCCAGCCGCGCGTTTGGGGAGCCTCGAAGGCTACTGTAGACTGAAGTGAGTTCATGTTCCTTCACTCCAGGATCTGGTGCCGGTTCATGTTCCCTGACACCATTTCTTGTAGGCCAGGGTTCATTTTCCCTCTGGCATCTTTTTTCGACAGGGTTTCGAGCTGCCCCTAGCTCTGCCACTGCCGCCAGGTGTCCCAATGTCTCTTTGGACTGGATCTTGTTGGGGTCTTTTTTCGCGGTGTTCTTGTGACCTCCTAGGCCCATCTTCCGCGCCAACCAGGCTGTGAGTGCAGCCAAACCTATCACGCTGGCCGTTTTGGCCATCTTCGTCACATTTGGCTGTGACGCCACAGCTCCCAAAGCTGCAATGGTTCCTACCACTACGCAAGCTACCTTGGGGGAAATTCCACTGGCTGCAGCCGGCTCATTTTCCACCAAAAACATGTTCATGAAACCATAGAACTTCTTCCAGGCTGCATTGGCGGTAACAGCCTTGGTCAAAAGGTCTGAGGCCAGCTCTGCTCCTGGGACATGTCGTCCTCTCCAAAACCCCCATTTCATCCTCTCTCTCAAAACAAAACTGCGAAGGCGCAAATGCCTCGTTCGCCATGGTCCATCCGGGCTCTCAAGCAAACGAAGACCTGACTGGTTGTCCCCGTAGAGCACCTTGTCGCCCTCCTCAGACAGCTTGTTCCCCTCGAGGATGTCCAGCACCGAGGTCACGGATTCGCCCAAAACCATCGCATCTGTGTACCCCAGCAACTCCGACTCTGAAGTCGAAAGGGTTCCAAAGGCCTGCTGTTTGGACTCCCACTGGATGGGACAGCCGCCATACATCGCAATCAGTCCTTGATGACCACGACCACCTGCTGGACCAAAAGAGGCGTCTGAATGAACCTCCAACCTGAGCATCGATCTGGGAAATGCCAGTTCGGATTCACCTCTTTGGCCAGGTTCACAACTTCCATAGTGTAGGGCCATGCTCACCGTGGTTTTGAGGTAGCCAAGCATATGCTCCCCATACTGACAAACTCGACGTGGAGCTTTCGTCACCATCCTTCCCATCCACGACACCCCATAGCTGAAGTCTGGTCGGGTTCGGCAAGACAGCCACAGCAGTTCGCCAACAATGCCCTGGGCAGCACGGACATCTTGGATGCGCACCTCATCTTCTGGTTCTTCATCCAAAACTCCAGGAAAAGGAGTGCTTCTGCAGGCTACTCCAGGATGCCGATCCAGTAGGTCCTGTGCATACGACTGTTGGCTCAAAAGGAACTGGTCACCTCGCTTGGTCAGTTCAAAGCCGCAAAACTTGACGTAGGCACCCTCCACCACAAACTCAGGATTTGAACATTTCCACTCCTGCTGAATGCGCTCCAAGAGGGTGTTCACCATGTCCAGCTCCCCCACAACCGCCATGTCATCCACATACAGTGCAAGGAAGCCCAATGCCTCTTCATCGTCTTTTCCATCCACCGTCAACACCTTAAAAAGGTTTGGCTCCGGAGTTGCCAGCAGTTGCAACTTGCGT